ATTGTTAAAAATTTATTATTTTTAGAATGATAGTGTGTTTGGTGAATGATTATATATTGTTTCTATTAAGATGTAATAGATTTTTAAAGAAATTTACTACTTTTTGGTTCCACATATGATATATTTTAAGCTGACTTGTTTTTATTGCATGTATTTAATCCATACATTCTATTGTGTCTAATATAATTCATAAATTCATAATTAATGATACAATGGTTTGTGCTATAGAGACAAATGCATGAACACTCTAAATAGATCTATTAATCAAAAATTGCTCAAATTTTATTCTAAACTCCCTTAATACATAGATTCTCCTATAAAATTTTAAATAAATAAAGATGCTATCATTTAAATTGAATTGTGTATCTAATTGGTACTCATATTCTATTTTAATTCATCATTGCCAATTTGCTGCTTCATCAATTTTTTCTACAATAAAAGCTACATCTTCATGGTTGTTGATATTATTAAATAGACAAGCAAAGTTGCATTGATCCATCAAAGTTAGCAAAAATATATATTATCTTTCTTTTTTTATTTTATTTGTATAATTATCAATTAATTTTTTATAATGTATTCGTATGTTATCTTTAAAATTGGATTACTCTAATATATATTATTTTAATTAAATAACTTGATTTTTTTTAAAATTTAAATTTTTTCAAAACCTACATTTAAAAGCACATTCTATTATATTTATGCTAATTACTTATAAAAATGTATGTGTAATATTAAATTAAAAAATCCAATCAAATAATTTAAAGTATATTATGGAAAGATAATAAAAAAAATTTATCATGTAATGTGATTGCATATTATCTTTAAAACCAATAATGAATAAACAAAGATAACATAGTATAAGACAAAAAATATATCTAAAAATCTTACTTCAATTATTATAAAAAACTAGCTTATAAAGTGTAACTATATAAATATTTTTATTTTTTGAAATATTGAACATAAAATATATCTATATCTATATATATATACATAAATAATAGAAACATAATAAATAAATCATGAAATTTTTCCTATAGCTTATATAATATATTATCAAGATTTTTTTTCATGATATTTTTTAATTGTCAAAAATAATTTGAAGTATATTATATTTATATAAATAAATAATATATTCTAAAAATAATACTCTTAATTTCATTCAATTACTTGATTTTTAATTAAAGAACTATTTTTGCTTTTAGCAAAAAAAATTATTTTACATATTTTTATGTTATTTAATTACAAAATAATAATTCATAAATTAAATAGATAGAACAAAATCTTTTTGTAGTAGGAATACAAAAGATAAAATCTTGTTTTGGATTAAACTTTAAACATATCAGTAGAATATCAATAAGATTTCTTAGAAAATGTAATATAATGCATTTATACTTAAAGAAATTTTTATATCTAAAGACTTAGAAATCATTATGTTAAAATAGTATCTAGGGTTGAATTGAATTCTCAATGATATACTATTAAAAATAAAATCTTTTATTTGAATTGTTAATGACTTTTTCAACAAGCTATAGAAAGACTTTTCTATTACATATGTTATTAACAAATATAAAGAATTAAGAATGTCCTCTTACAATATTTATGGATAGGCTACAAAAAAATAAAAATAAAAAATAAAAATCCTTTTTTACTATAAATTATATGATATTTACATAAATTTACATAAATTTTATTAAAAATATTTTTTTAAAATACTATACAATAATAAAACTTTGATTTATTTAGACTTTTTATAAGTGACATCTAATCATGACAATCAATCCATTTTCCATTTTGCATTGAAAAAAAAATACATATATATAAGAAAAATTAAAATTAAGCACACTCCTTAAATAGTTTAAATAGTAGCTATAATTATATATTGGTCAATATTGTTGCAGCAAGTTATTGCAAAATAACATAGAGCCAACCATTCATATATATATATATATATATATATATATATACTAAATCAAGATATTTTAATGCATAAAATATAAACTATTTTTTTAATGAATAATAAAAAAATTACTATCAAATTAAAATTTAGAATATAGTAGTTTTTCAAACAATACATAACTTAAAAAAAAGATGTTAAATTTATTAATATATACTCACTTAATACATCTAATTGAATGGATAATCTTATAAAAAATATATTAAGAAAATAGTACATGAATATACATTTTAGTGCAATGCTATAGCTGAATGACTATTGTAAGATATGAAAAACAAGCAAAATGCAACATAAGCATGATTCAAAAGAGAAGTTGGAAAAATTTATGTTCAACTTACTTTAGTTTTTTTTATATAAAACTTGTAAGATTTAAAACTTGCTTTTAAAAGCTTTTAAATAAATAAATATCATACATCATAAATCATAAATCATAAATTATTGTCAAAACATTTCACAAAAAAAAAACCATTAGAAGAAACTTATGAAATATATATATTTTTAAATTAGAAATTTCATTAACCAGCACAAGATATTGTAAATCAAATGCAAAGCAACAAAATATTCTATAATATGTGAGTCAGCTTGTGTTGATTGATTTTATCAAGAATTTAAGTATTTTTAATAAGTTAGTTTACTTCTAAAAATTTAAGATGTAATTATTTATACATTAAAATGCTTATGAATAGAATAAAACATGGATATGAAATATTCTGTATTCAATTAGTTGATAGTTTGGTTCTCACAAAATTATTATTCTTGAACGATAAAGTAGAAACTCTTGTATCTGTTTAACTTCATGTTATTCAAATTCACCATGTATTTACAAATAAATGTACAAATTTTACTGATTTATTTCACAACACAACAAAAACACATCCTGTTTCAGTTTTCGTATATGTGAAAAGTCCTCACTTTTCACTGCACCTTCATGATTTTAATATTATTGCAATCAATCTTCAATGCACAACTGTAAAACTTTTTCTCCAATCTGGACAACCAAAAACCATTCTTCGTTGGTCTGTCTTTGAAACATGGCACGCATAATTTCGTATTGATAGCAGCATTCCTCCAGGCTCCTCGTCGGCTACGTGCACACTGCGCTGAAGTGCGACGCAATGGATGAGAGTTTGCTCGAAGAAGCCGCTGCAGTCGAAGAAAAATCTGGTTCCTTTCAGTGACAAACACAACTCAGCAGGTACCCATATATCATGATTCAGTTCCTTTGAATCATGGCTTGGGCTGGACTCCGGCTCATCGTATCATAGGGCTCCATCAGATATCATGGCTAAATTTACCTTTTGTTTATTTTCATAATGGAAAGCGGAAGATGATGTGAGAATGATCAACGGTACTTCTAGACCACCCAAGCGTTTCTCCAAGTGTAAGCAGCATGGAACTGAAAGGTCCTCATCGCCAGCTCCTGAATGAACTTGGCGCTATTCACCGTATGTGTGTGTGTGTACCATGTAGTCTCTACATTTGACATGTGCTCAGTGTCGCTGAGACTACCCAAATTGTAGGTCTTGGGCTACCGGGCACACGCAGTCAATTCGAATGATCACGTAATACAAAAGTTAAAGCAGCGACCACAGAGACCGCGTTAAAGCGAGCTCAAACGTCAGCACGCGGGACAACAGGGTCTGACGAGAAGCTGACCTGGTTTAAAAGTTCTCTAGTTCAATCTACTCCTCCCCACAATGGCAGAGAGTTTTGTCCTGAGCTATCGTTTATCAACTGACTCAGGTTTCTTGATGATATCTCATGTGGCAAATCAAAGGCTCCTACTTTCAGCCGTCTGTACTCCCACAGTTCCAGACCCCAAGGCACATCATGCGTGTACATGCAAGCTGTTGGGGATGGTGTCAAAAGCGTCTACGGATTCCGGACATTACAAATGCTCCCTCGTAGGGTACGCCGCAGAGCGAAGTCTCACAGTTCTGTGCTTCCGTGTAGCGAGCACTACCAACCTTGAAGTGCACATTTGTGTGTCGATTGCTTGTTAACTCAACGTCGACTCTGATCTCTAGCTTCTCGAGGATTCAACTCTGCAATCGCAAATTCACCGCTGTGTTGAAGCTCAATCGCCCCTCTTCCAACAAATGGTGTTAAGCCGAGGCTTCACAGAAGAGTGCAACTGGGTCATGTCCACATTTCGGCGTCGAAGAAAACCAGATGGGAGTTAGAATCTAAGCCTTCGGAATACACCTTTCTGTGGGTACAATTGTATACGTATGTTTGTGTGTGTATTGCACTATATGGTGCCCTCTGACGATCGAAAAGAGGAAATCATTTCTCCCACTTTTGGAAGATAAATCAAATGAAGTCTGATGGCGATAAATTCTGCACCTATACAGATGCCATGAGGCCCATGACCCCTCACACTTTCATGCTTCCGGAGAACTGCAGAAGCAGTGGAATTGAGTGGGGTGGTTGAGCTGGACATCTGTCCTTCAGACTCTAGTAAAATATTCAGTAATTAAGAAACACATTAACAAACAAACATGCTTCTCCCTCTAAAAACGTTGCACCAATACATGTTCAAATTTTGGTTTTCTTAAGTTTATTTTGATAGGGAATGTTAGATTATTAAAATTTGTTCACTATTTGATCAGTGGCACCTCCTTCCATTCAGAGTGTTGGAAAGTAAAAATACACTCTACATGTTTCTTGGCTTAATTTCCTCGAGTGTGGGATGGGGGAGTATTCCATCCATCCACCCAGCGCCCCTCCCTTGTTTGCGCTTCAAGGGAGCCCTGCAAAAAGGTGGATCAATCGCAACACATGGGTCACATACATACATACAAACAAAACAAAAATATAAAGAAACATACAAACAGACACAGAGAGAGAGGGAGGGAGGGCGCCTCCATCGCGTGTAGGGTGCGGTGAGGTCAGGAACAAATGGAGTAAGCGGCAGGGGGCAGGACATCCGGTGACGTCGGCGGCTGCGGTGGGTGACGTCAGCAGCCGCGGGGATGTAGCTCAGATGGTAGAGCGCTCGCTTAGCATGCGAGAGGTATGGGGATCGATACCCCACTTCTCCACTGCTTCTATAGCTCAGTTGGCTAGAGCACCCGTTTAGTAAGCGGGAGGTCCTGAGTTCAACTCTCAGTGGAAGCAGCGCCTTTTTGCCGCCCATATCATGGTCGGAATCAGATTCCATTTGTAAAAATTTGGTTGTTTAGTTGTTTACTCCATAGTGTAATCAGGACTGCATTGGAGTTTTGGAATTAGTTATAAATTCAATAAAATGAACCAATTTTTTTTTTTTTTTTTTTTTAATTATTTGTCTCATAATACAACCTTTATATTATACTACTTGCAAGTTAGGAATCAAACATGATTAATCATTAAAAAATATTATTATCATATTTTAAAAAGCAGTGACCAAAATAAAATATTAATAAATTAGGATCATTGTTGAACCACAATTTTCTGTTTACCTATCCAATATTACATCTTTGTTAATTTTCTATCAAAACAAGATTCAATACTATTTTTTTTATTGGTTGATTGTATGAACCAAGAAACATGTAGAGTGCAATTTTAATATATTATTAGTGCCCTTATTTCTCTCAAATAGTGAAACTAATGTTTCTTTTTTGGAAATAGCCTTTTCTAAACTAGTTTTCAGAGATACATGTTTTTTTTCTTTACATGCCAAAATTTTATTTATTCTTGTATATATGTATTTTTTTATGTATATGTATATCTATTTATTGTCCTTTTATTATCCAATTTCTGTAAGAGGTTTCCATTTATACAACTTAATGTTAATAGCTTACACAACTTATCAAAGAATGGACCTAAGGATGTTGCACTTAATACATTTTAGAAATTGATAGAGTCTTTAAACTTGTAAATTAAAAAATCAAAAAAATCAATATCCTAATATGATCAAATTAATAATTAATCTAAATTTAAAAAATCTAAATAAAATTATAGCTTTAATATATATATATATATATATATATATATATATATATATATATCATTAAATTATTTTAAAATAGTATGTTAGTCTTGGTTCTTAAGTTGGTTGGAATGATATTCCATTCAAAATAACTATCTAGTATTAGGAGAATAAAGTTATAAAAAACATGACAAAATAAATAGTTACTTGTTGATTTTAGGTTTAAACACCCTTTTGAAGTATTCTTTATCTGAATTTTGATACTTTAAATATGTTTTGGTCTAAAATCCAAACCTCTTCATGATGGGTTTTTAATTTGGACTTTGGTACTATAAATATCTACTAATTTAGAGCTTGGATACTTATCTTATTGGCTTTTGGTATAGACTTTGGTGCCATAAGCTTTTGTTAAACTAAAGTCCAAAAATTTAAAATTACCAAAAAGAATTTCAAATAATTTATTCAAGAGTGGCATTCAACTTTGGAAAATCCTCAAATAAATTAGACTTAAACTAATGATAATTTCAAACAATCTCAATATGAGTAACTCCTACTAAATTTTTTTTTGATAATATTACAAATATGAATCGATGAAAGTTTAGAACTTTAAATGATAATAAATCTAATTATTTTATTTATTTTTAAAGCCAAAATTATGAATATATTTTATCTCGCTCTGAAAATATAAATTACTACATATTTGTATTAATTATTGGCAAATAAAGAAGGTGATTGCAAAATAATTTATTATCCATTAGCATTGATTTTATAACTAGTAGGGCACCTTAAATAAGCAAGTATTTTTGCAAAGATTAATGCAAAGGATGTTAACAACCACATCATAATCAAGAAAAAGGACCAATTAAAGAATATATTTTATACAAAGTATGGTTACTTTGAGTATAATAATAGTTCTTTGAAATTACATACTCATCTAAAAGAACTATGCAAAAATTTATTAGAAAATAATAATATATCATCTCTGGTTTGCAATCTCTTTATTTTATTTCTTCCATAAACTCTTAAATGATTATTCTCCATATTGTCAATACTTATGCTGTCAACATTCTCATCACTTTATCAACATAATGATTGTGCAAACAAAATATTAAGACTCATTCATACACATCTTACTCAAATTAATATTAGATACTATTTAATGTTTTTTTTCTTAGAATATTTTTTATGAGACAAATAACTAACCATTTGAAGCTATTAAAATTTGACTAGCCACTCTCTACCTCAAAAGCTCTAAACCCACATCTACTACTTTCACACATGAGAAGAAAAATAAACACTAGATACTAAAAAAAAAAAAGAAAAAAAAAAAGTAAAAAGAAAAAACCATTTATAAAAACAATATAAAATAAAATAACAAAATCAACAAACGAATGATGTTCACCAGAAACGAGTGATATGGCATCTGATGGGGAAAATTTTGAATACAATTTAGTGAGATAGGAATGTGGAAAAGAATGAAAAGCGACGGAGTGAATTGCAAGCACAAGAATGAGGGAACAGCGAGCACAAGAGTGACTTGAATGAATAGGTAGAAGGAGAAGGACAAGGGTGCAGACCTGATGTGCGGGATTTTCTGACTTCCCCGATCCCAAAAATCATCGACGACAGACCATTTCCAACTCTTTCTCCTTCCGGCGAGATTCAAGCCCATATTTGTGGGTCAGGACGACCTCTCCTAATTTGCAGCCAAGGTTGCAGAGAAGCGCTTCCGAACAAACAAACAATCCTACTGCGGTGGGGCCACCGACATGGGCGCCAGAAGAAGGTTCCGCACTTGGCAAAATTATGCAGACGAAGAAGAAAGTGGGAATAACATACTGTTGGGTGAACATTTGAGAGAGTAGCACATGGGCGCCGTGTAGTTGGATGAGCATGCTGCCGGGAGCCTGATCTTCACCAGACAAGTGGACATGAAATGCCGCCCTTGTGTCAGACAATCCTGGGTTAATTCCCCCTCACATCCCCCCCCCCCTTTGCATAGCAAATGGAATAAGAGAGAGAGAGAGAGAGAGAGGAGGGGTGGGGTGAAGAAGAAGAACGGGAAAGGTCGGCGATGTCATTTTCTTGGGTGAGACGCTGGGCGAGACGAAGTGTTGTGCATTAGCCCCCTGATTCCGGGGAATTTCTCGTCCCACGCTTCTCGCCCCCGAATTCATATGCGGTCTTTTTGGTCCCCCGGCTTGACCACACCCAACGAGTCACGGCGTTTGGTTGGATTGTGGACTGCCCAGACACAAATTTAGATTCTCTCTTTGGATTTGGTTATGAGGACTCTCATCCCTCTCCTTGGAATCCGGCGCATGGGGGGTTATACGGGACACGAAGCTGCAAATTCTTCTTCCTCTGGGGTCCAACGAGTGAAGCCACATGGATGGATCTCCTCCGAAAATTACAGGAAAATTCCGCTGAGGTTTCAGCCATGGCGTGGGTTGTACTTATCCGCGCCCTGCATTACGTTTCAGTTGGCTACAGGTTAGCAGCCAGTCACTTTTTTCGTCAACCGAAACGGATGTCATATCCAGAGATTAGACGTTTGAACCACCGTAATTGAGATGGAGGGTATGTGGTGATTAGAAACGCCGGCATTTGGGAACGACAAAAAATACTTACGAATAAAAAAATAATAAAAGAAAAACAATAAAAAGTGGGGATGGGGTTGGAGTTGTGTTGGTGAACTGGTAGGAAGGCCACCAATGGAGGAAAAGACCTCCGACATAGCCCGACAGGCTCTGACGTCTACCACAAGTCTCGACGAATTGTTCAATTTTTCAATTCGGCAAAGGAGGTCTCAATTCGTGTGTGAGATCGTTTGAGTTTTGCGTAGTTTGATGTGGTTGGGGGAGAATCACACACTAATTCAAAGCGGCATTGCATGGTCACCTCCAGCTCTGGTTCATTCTGGTCAAGGGAAATCTTCTCCCCAAATCTGAACAACTGATCAGTTATCATGTCAATCCAATGCTGCAGAACTTGTGACAACGCATTTGACTTTGAATAGTACTGGAGTTCTCGCTAAACCAAAAAAAGCAAAAAATGGCTACGACTCAAGTGAAATGGATTGTTTTTGTTTTCGGTCGCAAAAATAGGTGTACTGTGATACATTTAGGGTTGAATCACTGTTCAAGATGTAACGCAGAAAGTAGACTAGCCCCTACTTTACGGTATTTCATGTTCTTTGTTTAAACCAACTACGAAACAAAAAAAGGAACAAAATGGTGCAGACCTCTAATATTATCGCATACTGTTTCTGTGGGCCTCCTCACGAACTGGCCTTTTGTGTGGAAACTGGTTGGCAAATGAGGTGCTGTGGGGAGATCTGGTCTAATCTTCTGGGAAAACGAGCTGCGGATATGTGAAGCTGCTTTAGTGGCGCAAATAATTCAAGTACCTAGTCCGCGTCCAGCCCAAAACCCGTACATGTTCCCTGTTTCCAAGACAAGGAATATTCTACAAACATATTCCAACAGCAAGTTCTGACGTCAGTAGGAGCAGACAGGTAAATGACACATGCAATCCGGGTACCAGAAAAGTGCAGTGGAAAAGGACTGTAAAAGATAGGAGTTGCAAAATGTGGAACTTAACTCCTTATTACATCCAGGCCATGAGGCAGGGAACTTGTACAAAACTTCCAAGGAAGAAGAACCCAACAGCCTACTGTGGCACTGAACACCATGTGAACTTGCAGGTTAGAGGAGTAGCTTTCACATCTGCAGCCCAGCTCTCATGAAGCAACATTCCCAACTGTATAATTTTACAGAGCGGCCCTATCCTGAGAAGAAGGCAATAAAACTTTTCAGCCGCGTCTAATGAACTAGAGACAGTACTAAACGATATTCTCCGCCATTAAAATGTTCTGTATCTGGGGAAGAAGGCTTGTTATCTGGAGGAAATCTTTCGACTCTAACAGCGAAAGACATCAGTATGTTCCTATTTTGCCAGGCACGTATCTTTCTCAGGCATCCTCATTCCCCAAAATTTGGAAAAAGGATGCCTCTGTTCAATTCCCCCAATCTGGATGGTTGAAACTTTTCAGCCTGTACCTGCACACTATTTTGAATGAAATTTGCTATACACTCAGCCGGCAACCAGAGCTAACCACTTCGCTTCAAATCAGAGAGGAAGAGTGGCTGAAACGAGGTTCTTTGGCATGATGTATCCGTTCATACCTTCAATTCCTGGTACACCATACCGCTATCAGCAAATGTCAACTGCTAGAAAGATGAACCCCCTGCTTGCCCCGAAATTCTTTTCCACCGCACTCAACTAACTTCACCGCCCATCGCCATACTAACTTTCTGTTCACTCAATAAATCGTTTGGTCCCCCTACCAGTTCGGTTCCTGATCCTGCCTGCTCTGTTTGCTTAGTAGGGCTTCTCAATCCTTTGTGGCTGATGTTGATATCTGCAACCCCCGTGGTTAATTTATCGAACGAGAAATTAATCTGAGAAAGGTTCTCATCAGAATCATCACTTCCAGATGTGTGAGGAGTCAAAGAGTGAGATCCTTGAACAGGCTGAGCTGCAATGAACTCTCTAGGTTTTTCAACAGCTACACGCTCTGCAATCTGATCATGATTGGGCTGAGTGGGAGCTGATTCGAATTCGTTGAAACCAGTCCGTCCACCTCCCTGCAGTTGACAACCCCTCTCAGTAGTCATTCACTATGCAGAATCAAAGGGTAGCAAAAGAGCAAAGCAGGAATTAAAATTATATATGCAAGCATGCTTCTCCACATAGTATTGATGATTAATTCCACCAGCCAGACATAAGCACCTTGCTCGATATGCACATTATATCCTTGAATGCAGTTTGAGTCTGTCCAAGGACAGTAGAAGACTACTGAAAAGCCTGAGCCGGATGGGCAAAATCAGACAGAACCGTTGCTGACATCTTCCAAGGCATCATACAAACGACTATGATGGATGCAATAAACATGGGATATCATAGTCCATACCTGACGATGTTGTTCCCGCTGCTGCTGGGCATGCTGTCTTGCTCTTTTCTCCGTCAAAGCTCGCTGCCGGTTCTCGTAAAATTCGAAGTCATCCAAGATTGACGTTTTGGAAGCGAAGATTTTGAAGATGTTCAGCATTGCCATACCTTGTTCGAATTTAACCTGCATGTTGCAAAACAAACGTACCGTCAACTCCAGTTGTGTTGGCATAATGGATCGTCGCATGATTCTTAAATGTCTCTCCACTACATTGAAACGATATCGGCATTTGAACATAGTCGACAAAAATGACTGCTTACTTGTCCGGAGGTAGAGTCAAGTACTTACCTCTTGGGTGTCCCTGCTATTCGTCACAGGCTTGTTGTCATTGTTTTCCAAGATAATATGACGGAACTGGCAATTTGGGATATCCTTAATAATATGCCACGTTACAGGGAATCGGCCATTCCACTTGTCCTGTTGCCAGTAGTCGACACTTTTTGAAAAATCAACACGACCTGTCATCTGTGCCATTCCACAAAACTGTCCACTCGCATTCACCTGAAAAACGTAGAAAGTCTATCAGAACCGTTTTTCATATTCAAAACACAACCGACCAAATCAGAGTGTGCAAAAGAAAATAGTCTACCATACAAGTTACACAAAACCTGAAAGATGATATGGCCTGACACGAGATATCGAGGAATTCCACGGCCTTACCGAAAAGAACAAAAAGACTGGGTAGCTTTTGGTATCCCCATTACATTTCGTCAAAGCCTCTTGATATGCAGCATCTAGCCTTTTGTTTCCAACCGGAGTGCTGGCCCACACGTTGTACTTGATACTCTTGTGCACATCATCTTCACTGTAAGATTTAATCACAAAAAATTTGGCGTTCTCGTAGCTGGTGCTGAAGTCTGGATTATTGTACTGTTCTCTGTTCGCGAAGGCCATGAGCGGATCGCTGTTTCCTGATGAGTTCACACTTTGACCTCGGGTATGTCTCATGACACCTGCGATAGCCCGCTGATTCCTGGTTCTAATAGTTCGAGGTCCTCTATTTTGCTCGTTCAGAGGATCGAGTGCACCATTACTGATGGTGATGGGTCCGCCACTTCGACCCCTCTGTTTTCCTTTATCGATGCCAATCCAGCCTCCACGCCCATTTGCCCTAGTATCCATGGATGCGCTACCCATGTGACGAGCTCTCACTGAACCATGAGGCCCGTTAACAACTCCGGAAAGAGGATGATAGCCCCTGGCTAGGCCCCCAGGACCAAGATTGAAAGATCCCAATCCGGATGGATTTCTCGACTGATGAGATGATTGGATGTGTAGCTGTAATCAAACGAGCCAGAAGTGTTGATACCTTTGTGCAATAAGGCGGTTGAAGCCCACAAATTCTTAAATATTTCATTCGGAACTTGGAGTTCATGGCATTCCCAACTTTCTCTTTAGATTTATGTAGTAGTTTCGATCATGTTAGTCAAGTGAAAAAATCGACACACCAGGAAACCTTAATAATGCCTCCCTAAAACAGAGGAGGTGCCTCACTAGGTGCATGTTTTTGAGAAAATTCTTACCTGGAGCGGGGTAACTGGCCTCAATGGCTGTGCAGGAAGGCCTGGAGCTGCCAATTGTTGAGAGGCCATTGAGTGCATCCCTGTCGGGATTCCTGGTCTCTGCTGGCCTTCTGCTATTTTTGACACATCCACCCATGAGGGAGCAGCAGCTCTGAGCCCCTCGTATCGTACGTCTTGAGAACCTGGACTGTGAATTGCCAAAGGCAACACACCTCTAGAATACGGCCCGTGTGGAGGAATAAGTGCCATGGCTGGGAAACCCGGTCTAGGACTGCCGTTGGAAACTGCAATCTTTCCATCGACTCCAGGAGGAGAAGGTTCACCATTTCCTGATACAGTTCCTTCTCCAATCGTAGAAGGTGATCCCATATGATAAGGCGCAGCCGGAGATACTGGCTGTTGATAAAGTTGGTTAGAGTACGGAAACGCCTGCGGTACATACAGCTGGCCATCTGCACCTATAGTCGGCACAGGCGTCCCCGGAGAGTACGGATTGTAAGAGGGATTTGATGCATAGCCGTAGCCAGTGGCATGCAAGAATACAGAACCGCCATTATCACTGTAAACACCCTGCAGAGAACGGAAAGATACAGTGTCAGCATTTTCATACAAAGATCTCGAAAGAGTGATCAGCAGGTGCAACAGAAGCCCACAAAATGCGAAATTCAGCGGTGACCAGAGTCAATCGGGATCGCAAGGTCACCAGTACACACACGGCCCAACAGCCTATGATCCTACACCAGATAATATGCCTACCGATTGAACAAGATGCAAACACTAGCGATGACTTACTGGGGATGGAACCTCCATTCCATCAACGACATATCTGGAGAAATCGTCCCATTCACCAGCAACCGAAGGTTCATACCCTGTACAAAATTTGCCGAGATTTGAAGTTAGTTCATTTGAATGCATGATTTGATGAACCATAACAATTAAAGTATTATAGTGGTCTCTAAACACTGATACAGGACACAAATCCTTGGCAGTAAACATCAAAACTCCAACAGAAATTTAGAAACAAATACCAAAGATCTCCAGTGTCAATGTGCGTCTTGCTGTTTGCCGAATAAATTAAACAAGACAAAGGTAACATACAAGCATCACTGACCTCCGTGAAGGTAATCGTAAACATAACCATGAGGACTATAGCCATTCATGCCACCCACATAGTACATTGATCCCCCTTCGGCAAACCCCTCGTGTACACCATTTGTACTAGCTGCATCACCAGTTCCAACTGATGCAGAGGCATCTCCGCTTGCATCAGAGGAGTCTTCGTCATTTGTTGGAGGCACCTACAATGGCAACGCGATAGAAAGTCTAATATTTAGATGTTTGATCGTGGTTTCTGTCGAGAAGGATCCCAATTAGACTACTATGGTTATACGAAACTCAAGGTGGTTTCTGCGTTAAATACTACAATCTGAAAATAACTTAACTAGAAATGTTTGTTGTGCCCTTCATATACTACCACAAGTACATCTCATCTCCTAATCGACCTGGCGTAAGCAAGAGAGATTAAATGGACTGCAATGTTTTTGGTAACACCAAGTTCAACTCCCTGAAACATGCATTATCCTGGAGAATTTATTTTAAGAAGACCTCGATCTCGACAAGGTCCAGGACAAGTACACTGACAACGGAGGATGCACCTGTGGATTGCTTCTCAAAAAATCCAGGGCTTCTGCATCACCACCACCACCTGCATCCAAAGCAGGCATACCCTGCAACAGCAGAATATATGGACAAATGTCACTTATCATTGAGTGATACTTAAATAATCGGCTATCCCAACAAAGAGAAGATATAGACCTGTGACTATGGAGGCACTGTCTAACCTGAGGAAAATGATCTAGAGGCGCTGCGTTCGCCTCGGCCACAGAAACAGCAGCTTGAGTTGGTACTGTAGGAGCTGTGCTTGAGGTTTCCGCGGGAATCTCTGGTGATAGACAGGGCGCAGGAGGCGCCAGCCCGGTTGCTTCTGGAATACCCTGCACACATGACAGTAGTGCGATTACCAAAAATATGAAGTAACGACCAAAGATCTGCCGAAACACAACAAACATTCGTTTATTCACCACCTTTCCCACACTAATGACCAATCGAGAAACAATTAGCATTAATACAACTCACTTACAGAAGATAAATACTCTAAAGCACGCTCCACATTATTGGAAGCCGCACGTAAGGCATGAACGACAGTATCAAAATCCCAGCTTCCTCCGCCGATGTCTAAGATTTCCTGCGCCTTGCTTTCCAAATTGATACCAGCAACCAGATTTGAAGCAGCCTCCTCATGAGTAACTCTGAAGAAAAAAATTCATCACAGTCCAGAAGAGCACGTAATCATCCACACAACTTACGAACAAAGAGCACCATTCATTTCATTGATCTTCACAAAACTCATCTCATTGATCCACACTACATGTCTCTGAACAATGTTGAAAAGGAATGAACAAACGAAAATGTAAAACAGCGCGCGGAAAGAACGAATCTTACCCAGCAGATGCATTGATGACCAGGGTTGCAGGGGCTACAGATGTTTGCGCGGGTAATGACGGAGAGACAGCTGTCACGGCTACCTGTTCCGTTGAACAACCGCCCACAAACATTTCGTGAGGATTGAAAGTGTGCGGTGCCCTTGCCAATTCCAGAATGCTGATTAAGATATTTAACACAAAAAAAAGCGCGCATTGACAAGTTACACAAGCCCTGCTTCAAAATATTTGACGTCTCCAAAAGCACAAGAGACGTGCGAAAATATCAAGTGTACCTGAGTAGATTCACAGGCAGAAGTTGAAGCAGCAGTTCCAGATTTAGCCTGTCATTAAATGTGAAGTTAGACAACTCACATGTTTTTTCCGTTAAAAGACAATAGGCAGACCTTTCAAAAGCACATTGATCACAAGCGTCGCCAAACAGCCCTTTGACATAGCTAGATCATTTCTGGTATTATATTATAAATTACTAAAAAATTCAAAAGAAAAACAACCTTAGCTTCATGAATGGCAGAAATGATAATGAAAAAATAAATGAACTAACTGATCTTACTACAAATTAGTTGATCTCGTACTAATAGAATCATCTCCAAAAAATGCAACATACCTTTGACAACATGACAACAAAAAACTCATTTTCCAGGACCTTGTTATCCTCCATAGTGGTTTCGTCCTTTAAAACCTTCCCTTGATATATTAAGAGCTGCTGTGCACAAGGGAATAGTTGCTCTCCTTGGGAATCTTCTATTCGTTTCTTGACATTTATAACCTGTTGAGGAAAACAGAGATGCGAAGTGGACCTGTCAGAGAAAGTTATTGATCTGCTCCAATTCTGTCCAGGTGCTCAACACCATGCATTACGTAGCAATCAGTCAAGCAGCGCTTCGGCGATTAGAAACACATCAAAATAATATGATGGTTATTTCTTAAACACTAAAATCGCTTAGAAATCCAACCAAAGCCACGACATGATTAAAGAACTACCTTGGATTTCACTGTTTAAAATTAAAAATTAAAAAAGAAATATTCCGATCCCATACGGGATCAGCGGCAAAAATCCGAATGTCATGATCAGGAATCACACATGATCAGTGATATTCCTAAACCCTAATACTCTTAACATGACAGTCAGCATTCCTTAGCAAATAAAATAGCCACCAAACCTAGAAGTCTGCACAAAAAAAAAAAAAAAAAAAAAAAATGCTTCTCAATACAACCGCCGATTGCCACAAATATTCTCAGAGCACCCTAAAGGCCCTCAAACCAAGTTCGCAGTCGATACTGTCCGATCGGAACGTCACGTTCAATCATCCACTCAGCCTCAGCTCCACCTGTTTCTCAACCCTCCATCATCCGTGTAATCTCACTCGCATCACTACATGTTGCATCACTCCCCGCTGCCCAAGCCCCAATCGACAGCAACTTTGCAACCAACACTGTCAACAATCAAGAGAAGCAACGCAAGCCTTACCGTCTCCAAGGGGGTAACATCCAGGTCAAAGTAGTTCCCCTTCAAAGTCTTCACAGATATCTTCATCCTGCCAACGTATACAACCCCGAGCAGCAAAATTGGGATAAAAGTAGGAAAACCGCGGAACAGAATTCGGCAATGTCCCTGCAACAACTCCTTGCTAGCTCCAACTCAGGAGTTCCTCTTCTCTTCCGGTACAATTCTGTGAAAGCACTAACCAACCATGGCAACCTTAACCTAACCGCACTGGAGCTCCAAACCTTAACCTAACCAAACAGTAAAGAAGTCCAAGAAGTCCAGGTTCATTGTCTCGCCACAGCAAAGACACGACCGCATTGCCGTACAACGTGATTCCAACGACCACATCCCAGACATACTACTATCTTCTTCCCAAGAAATATACCCCCCCCTACAAGTTTAACGATTAACGTAGACGTCGCCAAGTCGGCAGTGGTTCGCAGCGCGCCCGATGATCACCGACAACGATTACTTTCCACCCAACCCTGTCCACTGCACGTTAGACATGGTCAGGGAACTGCACGATTGTCGCCATTTCTAACAAGCTCCCCAACTTCGCAACACCAGGCACCACCGTCGCCGAACTTACAGCCCACCACTGGCAGTCAACAACGCAGACTTCCCGCACGTCCACCAATTCGCTAACTCCCGAACTCGCTCCCCACTACCAGCTTAAATATTTATGTATTTATTTATTAAATAAATGAAAACACGGGCGTCCCCTACCTGGACGTCCAAACTACGCACGACCAGCTTCTGCTTCGCTCATCAATTACTACAATGAACCCATCTGGCTACACTGTCAAACCTCATACAACTTCGTCAAAACTATCCCCTTCCTTCTTGAATACTGCATAGACGATCCAATTTCGCTGCAAAGGCCCGGCTCCACAAACACAGTAACTCCCTCCACGCGTATGAAGACCACTCTCGATTAATCCGTAGTATCAAACCCTGGCTGCACAACCACCACAAGAACCGCTCTCTCACTCTCTCTCTCTCTCTCTCTCTCTCTTCCTACAGAACGACGCACTACTGCAACCACACACAGCACCACCAGTCGGGTCTCAGTTTCTTGTCACTACCTAAGAGCAACCCACGTCGAATGAAAGAACGTGGAAAGAACGAACTGGACACAAAGCACCTGGTGTTCAGTTCAAATGGGGACAATGAGGAAGAGAGAGGCTGATCAGCGCCGGCTCCGAGTAGTATCCAGACAGACAGAAGAATAGGCCCGCCTGCTCACGCAGACTCCCACATACGATTGGAAAAATGGCCAACAATAGCCTCGCACCAGACACAAGTCCACTTTTTTCCGCTCTCTTTAAGTCGCGGGCACACACACACGCACTACACTTACACCACCAACCTCGAACTAGTCTCTTTCCCGAGTCTCGCTCCTCCCCGCGCAGCTCCGCTGTTTCCGCTTCCCCCTTTGTGGGCGGGCCCGCGCTCCTCTCGGCCACCGTCGCGGGACCCACAATCCCGTCCCCTCCCCCCCCTAAAAACTGTCCCCGCTTCCCTGCCTATTCGTCTGTCTGTATTCGTACATGGGTCTTTCTTGTGTAGGTGTGTGTGTGTGTGTATTCTTCCTTTCGTCGCTTGCGCTGCTCCTCCTACCTCACGGGATTTAGTTACTCTCCTTCTCCTGCTGCCTGCGTGTGAGCCCCTCCCTACGTTTCGACGACACTCGCAGTACCCAACTTCCGCCGTCAGTATTGGATACTGTATCCTTGTTGGATATGGAGTTATACAGCAGGAGGGATGCATGCGTATGAGTGTGCTCGCGTCGACGCCGGGCACGTTCATCCACACGCCTCTCCTCCTCCTCCTCCTCCTCCGCCACCTCTTCTTTCCTTGGTCCAATGAGCAACCAGTCGCTCCGCACCCCAATCTGCTGTGTCGTTACCCTCCCCCCTCCCCCGCCGCTCTCGTTTTGCGTTTGGGTGTCTCTTCTAATTCCCCACCAGTCTCGAGAATTCTTGGCAGTGTTGTCGCTCGGGTTTGTCCTCGCCCCCCGTTGTCATGGCTCTCTTTTCGCCTGCTCGTCTTCACCATCGTTCCTATGAATCCTCTCTCTCTCTCTCTCTCTCTCTCTCTCTCTCTTCATTCGTTCATTATCTCCACTCTCCTTGACATTTCTTTTCAGTCCTTGACAATTCTGCAAGTGTAGCCATTGTTGTGCGATATAGACATGCATTCCAACCAAATAGAATGTTCGAATTTTCTTTCCTTTTATTTATATTTTTCCCCCTCCATTCTCATTGTTTAATTTCTTGAAGCAAACATCTGAAATTGGTCCTACTTGTACACAGTTTTCTACTGTAGTCGAATACAATAGTTCTCTGCAAGGAAATCTTCTGTGAACTTTTTATCGAAGAGAATTTTCCTGTCTCGCTCAATCGAAGTTGAAGTATCAGTCTGGTTAACAAATCACAGTAGCTTGTTGTGGAAGCATTGATGAGCCTGTGAAGACCTTCCAACCCCGGACCCTGTGTGCGATGAACAGTTTTGTTGGTCTGAGGATCAGAAGCTGGGTCCATGTTGCCATCATGGGAAATTGATAAGCAACAATCTGCCAAGAGAGTGATATCCACAACAGAGAGTCTGGAAGTGATGACATCAGCGGGATTTTTTGGCAGACTTGGCTCCACAGCATGTTGTTTTTTGTTTTGGAAGCACATTGAAAATCTGAAGGATGAATAGAAGGTCCCAACAGTGATGGATAATGAAGAATGAGTAAGTGTTTCGCATTTATGTTTTTTTCCTTTCTCTTTTTGTAATTATCTTTAAAGGATTCTGGGCAACAGGAGTGGTAATCTTTCATGTCATCATGTACCCAAGTAATTCTTAAAAGTACTCAAATTTTGAATTGAAATCACTTTTTCATCCACAGATGAGCGAATGTAATCCAATTACATGAGATATAAAAATAAAAATCTAAGTTCAGCAAAACGGTTTTGAAAAGCATTAAAACTGACATGGTTAGAGTTAGAAATACATGATAATCGGCCTCGATAAGTACAAGTAAATCGACCTCGGGTGCAGGGATGACAGGTATGGCAGAATTCTTAATGACAAAGCAATGTCCTAATCATACACTACATTAACAGGAATTTGCAACTTGCGGTGAAGAATCCGCAAGATCTTGAAGCTGTTTTTGTCAAATATTTTTTTATATTTTTTCCCTAAGAGTTAGCGCGGAAGCAAGAGTAGATTGGAGAGGGAATAATCATGAGAGGTGAATGACCGCTCGGTGATTGTGATGGCTGCAAGCACATCTTTGGAAGCAATGATCCCAAGCGAGTATTCCATTTCCTTGACGAAGAAGGATTATTATACTCTTCATTCCGAATTCTGCACTGAAATAACTTCTTTCCAACAATAATACCTTTAAGAAAATGAGTGGTCAAAATGCATTAGGCTTGGGAGGAGACTTACCCAACGACGCCGCCTCACCAACCATGACTAACTCCAACTCCTACGTTGTGAACACACTTTTCTTAATATTCTTTTTCACAGAACCTGTGTCAAGTGGTTTTGGATGCTCTTGCTAGATGGAGAGGCTTTAAATCTGGAAGACATGCAAAGCTGATGCAGCTAGGGTACGTGTGAATCGTACGAGGTTACGAAGTCGAGAATTGTGTCAAATCTATTGGAGCCCTAGCACCGAGCTATTAGAAGTGACTTCCAAAGGAAATTTTCTTAAAGTTGTTCGAAGTTTGAGATTCAATCAGCGAACTTACACTAGTGTTATTTGAGATCCAGGATAGTGGTGGTCGAGACCTTCGACGGCGTCTCGCATGCTTCGAATTGGTGGGATGGGTTGTTGTAATCGCTATGCAATGTGATCACGAGACGAGTTCTAAGCTCACAGCTCAGCATACCATCAGCATTTGACTCTGCCCCACATCAGCCAACGCAATTTTCTGGTACTTAAAAAGCTTACCCAGCAAGAAGGACTCTCTCTTCAGATCTGCAGTGTAACAAAATCATTTTGAGGGATTGAATCTACTCACCAAGAGAATGCTTGTCATGGTGTTCGTCACGCACAGCCAAGCAGCAGGAGAGTTGATGTCAATAGAAAAATTGAAGGAAGGCGTAGAAAGAGCTCGTTCAGCTAATTAAATTGCGGACAACTAACTCTGGATTATTGCTTTGTGAGATGCGCAGCTTGCAATTGTTTTTCTACACATATATATGTCTATACAAACCATATAACAAATCAATGTAAAATAAAATTTTGATTTTTATTGTAATGAATTCATGATTTCTAATCTTATAAACTTTAGACTGTATATTTACACATAAGAATTTAATTCCTAATTCTGATTTGTACAAACGCAAAAACATTTAACACTAAGTTGTACTTTAGTAAAGTTTGAGGCTATTTATAACAAACAATTGTCATAATCAATAATCAAAATAAGTATCAACAGGCACATACTCTTTACCAATAGAACAAGTCTTACAATTGTCTATACACATATGTATCTTCCTGTAATACTTAATTTTCATAATTAGAGCTTGATAATATAATATTTGCATGTTTAATTTGGTTAACAACGTTGCTCACTCAAAAAAAGAGCAATTTATAAAACCATTTTTTACAAGAATTATTTGTTTAGTTTTATGTTGGTATGATACTAAAAGAAAACATGTATTATTCATAGATTTAACAACCCATAAATCAGAGCACGCTCTGATGTCTTATAATTGCACCAATATTATACCATTCTGTTACAAAAGGCCAACTCTCAAACTAATCTTGCATACAAAATACAATATTTATAACTATGTTTGTAAACAATAACTGTAGAATAATGTTATATAAACTCAATATTTTCAATTCTTGATACAAAATTATTGTGACTGTTAAAATGATAAAAAAAAAAAATGGCCATTATGTAAACTTTTATGGGTGTTTGTTTAATATATCCTTGTAGATTTATGAATATGTGATAATTTTTAAATAGGAAAAGAATGTTATGAAAACAAGGAAAAGACATCTACATTTATTTTTTACAGTATGTTTTTGTACCTCTAATCTATGATTAAATAAATAACATTAAAAAAACCTAATGTTATACCTAAGGAGTATGCATCAACCATTTTTTTTTTATCAATTTGCATATAAATTTGAAATAATATAATATATAATATATACAATCATCACATGTACTATTACAACCAAATCCATATTTCTTATTGTTTCACAACACTTTTCAAAAGTATGTTTTTTACATTTTATTATATGCATAATGTTGATTTGTGAGGTTTACACCAAATCATATTTATATCCTAAAAACCACATAATGTGTTTTGAATCAGGGATATACATTTCAAATGAACACTTGGTTTCAACTGAACTTAATGATTTTTAATTTAAGATCATATTACAATTAATGATCAATAAAACTCGTTTAATCAGGTCCAGAGGAAGCCACTCCCTGCTAAAACCCCGTATGACCCAGTTCCTTTAGATTCAAACTGGGTTCGCTGCAATTTTGGTAATCTAGACAAGCAGTCTTCTCTTAGAATCTTCCTCACCAGGCAGACCCTCAAGAGCAGAATGAAACTGATGGAATCCGGAGATTGCATACACTCCGGAAGCTCATTCGGAGGTTTTGTATTGAGCGACGTTGTGTGGTTCATCATGGAAAATGCCATTTTGCGAAGTAGAATATGATGTCTAGATTCCTGAGCTCAGAATTGCGCAGGACATGGAACGCACCTCTACCTCGTCTCAGAGTTTTTGGGGCTCCTCGTACAGTGATGGACATAGGATCAGCTGATTAGTGAGATCCAGCAACTCAAGGGAAGTGATGGGAGTCTGGACAACTTGTGGAAGAATAATTGCAGCACTCGAAATCCACTAGACATACTAGGATCAAGGGTTTATTCGCTACCTAGATTAGCAATGTAGTCAGTCCTCTTCGAAGCATGGAACCTTGAAACCTACTGCAAATCGATACTGGAGTCGAGTCCAGCGCGTTCACGACCGGCAGAGGACAACCAAGTCTAAGTTGTGCATGGTTGATAATAACTTTTTTTAGCCTTTTTGGTTGTTGTAGAAACAAAAGAAGATTGTATCGACACCCGGAGCCGCATAATTACAACCCCTTTTTTCCGGTACCATTGATTAGCTGATGACCGAAATTTGAGACCCTCTCAAGCAGTTCACTGATCTGCTGAAGAGCGGAAGCATATGGTCAGGACGGTCAACAATCATTCACGAGGGAGGAAGTGATAGTGAGGAAAAGCCTGCGTGTGAGATTTGGAGTGTGTGACTCGGCTCTCAGTAAGGAGCCGTTTCTGAGTATCAATAGACTCTCATAAAAACAAGTGTCTACTTAAGGTGTAGACAGCAAGCCGTCATCAACGAAGTCACAAGCAAATGCCTCGCATGTCACACTGCTTGTGGTTAGAGTACTCACACAATTCCCATGTGTGATCTGCCTTATCATTGCGCCTCGTCTTCAGAGTTCTCTCTTAAACACAATGACGGGTGGAATTGACCGAAGAACCGAACCCTAACGCGACAGTTTTCAGTTTTATTGTCTACGTAAACCTGGGATACCTCCAATCACGCTCAGAAAATTCACACAGGAATCAACCCGTAACCTTGTATCTGTTGTGATTGGGTACATCGAATTTCAAATTCATGGTGGGTGGTTAAAGTGTTACATCAAAGCTGGCAAAATGGAGTTGTTATCGACAATCTCACCGTTAATCTGTCTTTGATACTGCACTATTCATGCAACTTAATTGAAGTACGTGCAGCAAGTAGAGGATAACTACCTTCCTAAGTACAGATTAAGCCTTTTTCATGTGCGAAATGGAGAAGCCAACAGATCATTACACAGGTTCACCTTGAAAGTGATCACACTATCTAGCATTGGGTATACCATCATTTTCAGAATTACCGAGGATACACATCCCCAAAGAAACACGCTTTGCATGAATACTTTTGAACAACCACGGGTTTAAAATCTATAGTGTGCCACAATCCGATTTTCAATCCAATACTACTTCAAATTCCTTGCCCGGTTCAGGAATTCTGTTTCTTCTTCACATTAAGGTTGGACTGTCGGACACCATAATGCCTGACACCACCATCAACTCCCGGATATAAGGCAAGATGCAAATGATACAGGATAAGGCTGTCGTGTCAAACAACTTTAACTCCGAAATTGTCGAATCCTTGTATGCATTGATGGACGTACGTATTGCAAGCCTTTCGAAAACTGGGCGCTTACGACTCAGCGGCAATGTAGAAAGCAGACCATTCCCATCAAAAATCCGACTTGAAAATCTTGAGGAATCATGGTCAGCCATAGCGAGCAACCATGGAACACCAGACACCAAGACCTAGTTCAGCTCCACGTTCTTTATACACTCATCTCGTAATTGCTGGGCCCACAAGCCTGTATGCACAGGGCTTGATGGCATGGCCAGGTTTAGCCTATGCAAGTACTTTGTAGTATTCGAACACAGAGTTGCCTGATAAATAGATCTTGGAAAAAAAATGGTCCAAAGCTTAGTCTAGTTCCACTCTAGGATTCTGTCATTGTAACATTCCGGGAAGGGAAGTAATCTTTGAGAATACTTAACACTCAAAATTTTACTGCAAGCACTGGATAGCAGTCGATCGACCTTCCAATGGAGATAAATAGCATGGACAAGAGTCTCAAGCAGGAACAGCAATCCTAATGAATATCAAAAACACAACCAAGCAAGCATACTTAACAAGGATGCACCACCCCAATGTCCCGTAAGTACTCCACAAACTCGTCAATCAAATAAGGCCAAGCGCCTTCTGCGTCGTAGTTCGAAAGCGAAGGAACGATTGTCTGATTAAAAACCAACAAGCGATGAGAAAGCTGTGGTGAGCAGTTCAAAGAAAGCAACACAAACGAACAATGCTAATTTCTGCCCAATTAGAGAACTTCTAAAGTACACATTAGGCATATTCCCACCAGACAGTGTTTCACAAACAATATCTTAGTATTAAAAACTCTCTCATTAAAAATATATTGATAGTAACTTGCGGGTGAACATGAAGAGCACTGTAGGCTTACCCTGGAGAAATCAAGAAGTTGAACCCAGGTATCCTTAGAGATGGCCTTGTTGTGCTTAGCCTGCCCATCCCCAAATCCCATACTTAGAAAAGTAGCAGCTTCCTATTAAATAGAAATAACCAAGGTTACAACAAGATTTTTTAAAATACTAACAAGAGGCAGACGACTTACTTGCAGAAACTGGCACCATGGATCCACGAGAGGCCATACACGCTCTGCAAATAACAATTGCCACATGCCCAGGGCAGTGTCCAACGCCAATGATTTCTGTCCCTGTTTTCACAGCACCAAGACTTCTTGAATCTAATCTGGAGACCACATCGACTATTGTTCATGAACACTATCCAAGCAAAGAGTTGTATTATATCAGTTGTGAATATAATTAATTCAGCTACCCAAACAAGGTTTCACAAAGAGCTAGTCAAGTTCTGTGGCGAGAAGCATTTCATATGGTGCACTTTCTGAACCGAACAGCCGAAATATATGAAAAGTAGGATTATGGCCGATGAAAGTACTTAAGTTCTGACCTTTTCTTTAGCCCAACTGAAAGCGAAGTTGTAGATCTCCCGAAATTTATCTGCAAAATGGTGCCTTTCGGCTTCATATCGAAATTCTTGTTCGTCCAGGATGCGCAAAGTCGGAACGGAACTTTGCGACCATGGGTATTACAACATTTTCTACTGTCACATTTCCTTCTCTAATTTCAGACATGACTTATAACCAGTGTTGTGCTTTTCACAAACATATAATGGAACTCTGAAGCTGGGTGAATAACAAATTTTCTTACGCTCATCTTTTAGCTCTGCTCGCAAGTAGGGGAGGAGGGACTTGAGTTTGTCCAGTGAGTCCACCCTGTCATGTACAACAATAGCAGACTTTATTAGGTGCAAAGATCATGCAGTCCACGGCTGATTGACTGGAAATAATAACTAAAACGACTAACAAAGACTACTCAAGGCAGCTACATCTACAGGGGTTCTAACCTTGACATTTGTAACACGCTTATTCCATGCAGCCATTCAAAGTCGACAAGCTTTGAATGTACACTAAAAGTTCCAGGATAGGAGAATAACTAACTCGCACCCATCCAGTTGTATTAAGGTTAACAAGTATGAATTGTAAGCTTCAAACTTGACAAGGGCTAAAAACTGCAACTTTCAAGACAAAATGTATAATGCTAATTATTTTGTACCGTTATGACACTGAGTACAGCACGAACTGACAAAACAGGGATCGTTTCTCTCACCCTATTGATTGGAGACCATTGGAAAACTCCTGTTTTGAGAACTCAGACATAGTGGCTGCTTTCATATGCCAGGAGATTACAAGCTGCAAATAACCATCAGATACAACCAAATATCCGTCAGTTGAGATCAACGAAAGTTTTTGACACAAAAGAGTTTCTCTTTTCTACACCAGTCAGTGTTAACAAAAGAGCTTCAGTACTTGTTAAGTTAATACTCAGAATCGCATAGCTTCTCAATATTCTTAAGCAACAAGTAAACTTCGGTACAAACAGATGCTCACCATAACGACATCTCCAGGGTCTACCTACATTCAGAGCAGAACAACGATCAGAAGGCTCGTCACTTCATTGTAATAAAAATTACATTAACTCCGCAAACGAGATCGCCCAGTAGTGCTTTCAGCTTCAAACATATTCCAAAAAGTACTCTCTTGACAAATACTACCAGGAACTTCTACGCTTGAAGCAGAGTTATCTCAATGCAGTTCCGACAACTCAACATTCATCAACATTGAACGCCAGAATCAATAACCGTGAGGTTTAGTAAGGTATTAAGAGCCAAGTATAACTGGGTGTGTTGATTTAAACTTACTTCAGGAAGTAATGCACTGATACCCACCTGTAAATCATCACAGAATGCTGAAACTCCATCAACCATGATCATGTCCGAATAAGCATCTGATCACATTAGACGTAACCAATGAGAACAGACGAAAATTTACGACATAAGGGTGAAGGATCAAGAAACGAAATCATAACTGTTGCCCTTTCAATGTTCCACAAATTCGAAACAAATCAGGAGCTCATAAAAAGTGGCAAACATCTATTATATGACTTCAGACACCTTTATATTTCAGATAAAACTCTTCTAAATGCCGTGGATCTACAAGTGGTCTAGCAGGTGGCTGGTTGTAAAAGTTTTCAAAAGCTCCTTCCAAGTTCCAATCGCTAGCCTTCAAGGCTGTCAGAGCGGCCTTTTCACTGCACATACGATGTAGCTTATTCAAAATCGGGCCCGGAAGAAACGAGTCGAAGCAAAGCAAAGTGCGTACTGAGAGAAATCCAACAAGCTAGTTCGAGAGAATCCCAAGTGACCCACACATATCCATGTGAGTCCAGAGTGCGAACTATCACAGTATACTAGAACCTTTCAGTTATACAACACACAACGGCCACTGAAGGAACAAACACGATAGAAAAAATGGTGTAAAAGGAGTACTTCGCTCCAGCAATTCTCATGAACTGTTGAACTTTGTCCCGATGCCCCCTACCAAAGTTGTTCTGCACATTGGCATATGCCCGTAGAAGAATTGAATAAACATCTGTACACATATTTGGTAGCCTAAGATTTACACTCCCAACCTGCATAACCTAACCTCCTTAAGCCTGCAAACAAGATGATTCACAGGCCTGTTTGCATTCAAACCCATCCCATCTCTAAACCTCCACGTTTGATACAATAAAATGACATATGTTGCATTCTTCCCAAATATGATGACAAAAGTGTTGATCATTGCAGCAGGAAATCAATCAAGGGTGTCAATGCAGCACATAAAATGAGCTACTGTCAAGTTGAACGGCGTCCATATGAATGCAACAGATTAGGTCCCAAGAAACTTGCATCACACCACTCAAAACCCATGACTGTTATAAGCCTTGTATACAGTCTCAGGTTCCAACATTAACAAACAATGACGATGACCAATTTTGCCTCTCAACAACATGCACTTGCTGATTTTGAACGACCTCGCATAGGCCGCAGGTCCCAAGACTCCAGACCTACTCTCTCCCACACACTCTCTCTCTCTCTCTCTCTCTCTCTCTCCTCAATTCAACCATCACTCCATCTGAACCGAATGCCCACGATTCACTCCTTATCACAACTCAACACAATCCATAGTCACCTCCCATTATATTTCCCGTGAAAGACACTGGAATAAAAACCAAAAAGTCAAAGCTAACTCCAGCGGGAAAACAGCACAGAATCACCCGATTTCGGATGAACAAAAACTCGAATCCACGGACCAAGAGAGCCCGACACGGATTCACAGCACGGATTCACAGCATGAGAAACCGAGTCGAAACAGGGACATGTACCATAGTGACGGCGACGGACAATTAACCAGTCCAGCAGCGGCACTATTCCAAACCCGTCACAACAAACACCAGGTGCAGCGGAAAGCACACGATTCTGAAGTCACCAAGTCGACGGATGGAATTAGACCCAACCCTAAGCAAGCTCCCAGGAGAATGAACAAGCCTGGAGAAGGCAGAAAACAGCGGCCCACATGCAAACCAAGCGGCCCACCCTGGAAGCACCAATAAAACTCAGCAACTGGCCATCAACACGCTACTTTGCTTCACTGGACCAGAAGCGTCAATGTATGAGAGCCATCAGCATCACAGTGACGATAAAATCAAGACCATTTACGAAGCGAATATAAAACGCACACCACACTCCCCCAAACTTGGACTGTCGATAAGTATGACAAGAGATACCATAGTCAATGCCTCAACCTCGACTCTTTGAAAGTGTCTATGGGGAGTTGTTGCTACCTCTTGAACCAGGGGGCAGATTCCTTTGAGGAATCCATAGCAGTTTCTTTTTTCTGATGTTGGAGGTTGTGAAACAAAAAGCAGAGATGTCCCTTTGTTTTAATTTTGTTTTCTTCTTTCGTTTTTTTGTTTTTTTTTTTTTTTTCTTTGGTTTTATTTATATATATATTTTTCCCAATGTTGTAGACTCCTTGGCATGGAACTAGGAGACCCACGCTTTGTTGGTCTGCTACAGGCTTCGTCAAAAGCATGGACTCGTTGTCTCCCTGCAGGACTGCAACAAAACCATCGTTGACATGGCAGTCACGTTCCTGCTGCGGCGTCAGAGCTGCTTGTCGACGACACAAACTGCACTTCTGCTCCCGTTACGCCTCCTTCTTGTTGCTGTTGTTGTTTTCTTGTCATGATCTGTGAGCTTAGAATCATGATCGACGACGACGATGACAACGCCAGAAAAATCATACCACCATGAAGCAAACTGCATGAGGGCACGCTATTATGGGATAATGTATATGGCTGATGTGGCGAGAAGGGTGTAACTTTGTGCAGTCGACAAAATGTGATTTTGAAATGTGGGTTGTGGTTCTTAGGATTGAAACTGAAAATAAAATTCGAAGATTGTGGATGGATAACGAGTTTTGTTTTTATGAAGATGATTCAAACAAAGTTTTATGATGATTCAGATGTGTTGCGAGGTGGCATAAAATGTGAATTTCCAAGATTGTACTTGACAAATGATTGCTGCGCTTGAGTTCATAGTCTACACAATTAAAAAATACAATAAAACTGCAACCGTAGTTTGTTCATAAGAGGATATTTTGCAAGTATGAAATTAAAGTATCGTAAATTTGTTTTTTTAAATGTACATCATATTTACATTGGTCAAAATACTTCAATATTAATTATTTGGGCTACTTCATCAGGATTAAAATTTCAAAAACAAAATCTATAACTAAAGAGGACATGGATTTTTATTCATTGATCAAACTTTGTTCAGATTTGTAAAACAAATAAAATAACAAAAATATCAAAATAAAAAAGTAAACTTAATTTAAAAAAAAAACATGTATAAATGATGGTATTCTTTTTTGTGTTTATATAAAAATCATATTTTCCTTTTTCTTTTCATCATAATTAAACCAAAGTCTGAGTTAAAACCAAAAAAATTAAACTGTACCAGAAACTCTTTTACATTTAATATTATCAGTCATGTTTTCATACTATAACCACGTACATTGCGTTTTTTTTGTTTTTAATTATCTCTTCCGAATACATATATATTTAATATTAAAATTTACAAGAATAGCTATTTAATAAAATAAAAAAGGTAGGATTTAAATAGTGCTTTTAGTAACAGTATCAATTCCAAATTTCACGTATATTATACATTTTTTAGAAGGGTAATGTAAATTATATTTACAACAAGTTATGCCATAACATTAATTAATATTAACACTACTCATTATGTCTACCCAACTTTATAAATACCACACATACTTAAAGTCAGAGTCCAACCATTCTCTTAATTTCATTGTGCTTCATCTAATACACCATAAAATTCTAGCTTTTGAATATAACTACTAACTTGTTTTAGATTTAATAAAAACTGCAATAATTTCATGACACATTTTTTTAATTCTTTAATTTTAAGACACCACTTGTTATTTGAATTTTTGAAAATAATACCTTTCCAGTATTTGCTTCAAATGATTAACTTTTAATCTGTAAATACATAAATAAATGAATATCTGGTTGTAAAATCTGTGTTTGTCCAGTGTTTACATATTCATGTATCACATTCATAAATTAAGAAAACATCTTCGAAATTGACCTAGGAAGTAAGTGAAATTTTCTTATTAAACTTATATTTAGTTATCTTTTTCTGTACGATTTATGGAATATGAATTCTTCCTTATAACAAGTAATACATAGTTATGTACGTTAGACAAAAAATAATGTGCCATCCTTATTTCGGATGATACTATTAGTATTAATTTTCTTGTTCTGAATAACAAAACAGATGAAAGCATTCATTTGAACAAACACTCTTTTTGAATGTATTGTTTTGCAAAAAATTACAATTTTACAAAATTTTCAAAATATGAGAATGAAATTCTAGTTTTTCTTTACATTACGCATCTAAAATAATTAAGTATTTCAAGTTTGATTTGTAACAAAGATAAACGTGCATGTTAATTTTGATAATATGCAAAAATTTTAAATTCTTCTCAATAACATAACATTTGGTTAAAACTTTTCAGAGGATTAGGCCTCCGTCATTGGATGAAAGCGACTGTCAGTTAAAAACGGGATGAGACCCTCGCAATACGACTATGTTAAGTATACACCTCCTGACACGGTTATTGCAGGACCTCTATTAGCTCTACCGGGTGTCAATGTTTACCGGGTATACATCAATCACTCTTCTTCGTCGTCGTGGTCTGATTGAGCTGGGAAGCTCGGAGTGTCGTCGTGATCTTCTTAACAGCTCGGTTGCGATCGCTCTGTAGGGAGCTTGCACAGTCACAGACGTGAATTCCCTGGGGTCTGATAGCTGTAGTGGGCGGGGATTCGGACATAGAGCTGGTTGGAACGGGACAACAGAATTGCGAAATACCATGGATGTGTCCGCGGATTCAGTGGATAGGGCGCCAATCACTACTTCTGCGGTGTTGATGTCCTCGTCGAAGCACATCGCATCCAAGTGCGGAGCGGAGAACAGAGCCTTTCTGGATTGCAAGAAGAATGATCCTAATCCGGAGAAGTGTTTGCAGAAGGGTCAGAACGTGACCCAATGCGTCATCTCTCTGTAAGTGCAATTCGTGACTGTCGGTAGCCCTAATTTCTGGCTTCTAGGGAGTAATGTACAGGTTGATTCGATGGGGAATATCAATGGTTCTGTATCGAAAGAGGTTGAATTTGGTAGAGAGTCACTGTAAGCATAGGTTTGGGTTTGAGGCTGGTCACTCATGAATTTGGAATTCGTTTTGTGCGCAAAAGGCAATTTTCTTAAATACTCATGGGTATTGCAGGTTGAGGGAGCTTAACACTAAGTGTCCAAAGGCCATGGAGTCTTATACGAAGTGCATGGACTACTATAGCAACGAGTTTGAACTTTGCCGGAAGGAGCAACGGGAATTTGAAGCGAGCTGCCCTCCATAGGTCATCCAGTGTATTTCTAGGGTGTTGACGGATCCTTCCGTTTTTGACTGGTTCTTTAGAGGAAATTCCTTTTGTTGATTCGTTGGGTTGATTCGTTGGTGCACTAGGCTCTGAAGCAGTATGAATTCACCACGCTCGTCAAACCAAGAAATTCAGTAAGCCCTCTGTCATTGGGCTTTTGTTTTTATCAAGTTTGGGAGGTCCTCTTCTCTTTCTACCCTAGTTGACGTCTACTCTTGTCAGTGACTTTCCAGTTTATAAAAGAATGAATTACTCACAGAGAGCATGTTCATGCTAGAAGATGGGTTTCTGGCCAGGCACTTTTTGGAAATTCTAGGGGGTTTGTGAGATTTCAGTATGCAGGTGCATGTGAGCTTGAGTTTGATTAGATTACTGCCAACGACATTATAATTCCGACGTGAACTTTTAGTGATAGATATCTTTCGCTCTTTGGAAGGTTGCTTTTATTTTTCCTTGTTTCCGTTGATATAGGTTTTCATTAAAGTGATGCAAAATGTGTGCTATCTCTCTCCGCAACTTTGCTGAGCGCTTATCTGAACTTTAATGTCTTTTAAAGCCTAGGACATGAAGAGGAGATACTCATTTCTCTTTAAGCTGCCCGATTCCTCTTCCATAGCACTTTGATCCCCTATCTAGGCACACAGTGATCTTTTAATCGTTATCTCTTTGCAAATGCTGGGAGAGTCTGACATCCTTCTTTCTAAAAGAAGATTAGGGTTTCTGGAAGGATGTCCAGGAGTGTCTTGCTTAGTTCTTCCAAGTTCTTGATGGATACTCTGTGATGAAAGTGTAATCGAAAATGCCCAATTTTGTAAATTTAAAGTATAAGAAATATGCTTCGGAATGTAGTAGGCGAGAGAGTGAGCCTCTTTGAAACACGAGGTTTAAACCCGACGATTAATCATTTTGCCAGGTGCGCTTCACGCAGCTGATAAAATACTCTGGAATCAAATCTTGTTGCAGTACTACGTAATGTCAGAGCATATGAAACATGTAAATTATCACGTGTTTTCAGTTATTGTGCTTATCTTAATTGCTGAGCAGAGCAGCTACGTCAAGGACCTTGAGTGTGATGCATCCATTTTTGCTGGCTCTCGGACGAATTATATTCAAACCCATAATCTGATTTCGGATTTATCCTCGGTCGGCACCTTGAAACCGCCCCACAAAACACAAGACCACATGTACTGTGCCGAAAGTAAAAAAAACAAATTAAAGATGCGTATCGAAAGTGAATAAAAGGCGCAGAGGAGGGATAATTCAGATTCGTCGATCGAAGCCCTCGGCTGAACGAACACCCGGCTAGGATTTGAAAGATTCGTCCATCGCTTGCTTCATTGCCCAATGGACATGCGACCTGTGGACTGGAATTTGGGAACGGCATAGTTCGCGGAACACCAACTTCCGTCCAGGAAAGAAGAATTGCGTCTATTGAACGGATGCAGCACGTCTATGGAAACATGGAGAAGCCTCAGGAGTAGCGGCAGTAAAGGGGAGCCGCAGGGCAGCAAGGCTGTTGTTAGTTTGGTCGCTTTCCCCCTCTCAATCTGCCGATTCACAGCCACACTCCAGCGTTCTCGCATTCCCGCTGATTCTCCAAGCCTAGCATCACCCACAAGTCGCTATGGCTACCGCTCAGCTTTCAAGTACGATTTCCGCTCAGATTCTTTCGAGAAGTGGGAGCTATGGAGTGGAAGGAAATTGTTACGAGTCGCAGTTGGGGCAGCGGTTTGTATCTTTTAGGCCCACTGGCATTTCAAGTGCCTCCTCTCCTGGATCTTCGTCCATTCAAGGATTCAGGTTGCGTCAGTCCTTGTTTGAGGGGGACAGGGGCAAGGGGCGGTGTTCATGGCGCGTCGAGGCGGCGGCTGGTGTGGACGAGCGAATAGCAGAGGCGGAAGTGGGGAAGAGGGGAAGCGTCATTGTGATTGATAACTATGATAGCTTCACTTATAACCTATGTCAGTACTTGGGAGATTTAGGGTGCAAGATAGAGGTTTATAGAAATGACGAAATTACTGTTGAAGAGCTCAAAGCGAAGAAGCCGCGGGGTGTTCTGATTTCTCCGGGGCCAGGGACTCCTCAAGACTCAGGGATTTCGCTGCAGATAGTGAGAGAGCTTGGTCCTACCATTCCCTTGTTTGGTGTTTGCATGGGTCTGCAGTGCATGGGGGAGGCGTTTGGAGGGAAGATTGTTCGTGCGCCGAACGGAGTAATGCATGGCAAAACGTCCCCTGTTTTCCATGATGAGAAAGGCGAACCTGGGCTGCTGGACGGTCTTCCCAGGTATTTCATCGTGCTATGGTAGTTACTGTTGTCTCCCCCCCCCCCATATTTCCTATTTTTCTATTTAAACAAATTTTAGTACCTCCCAAATGTGTTGAATCGACTTTTGAGAAGTGCGTGGGGGTTGATTCCTGCATTGCTTTCCTTGTATACACACACCATCAAGTACGTAGATCGTGTCTGTGAAGCCCTGTATTTTGGCATTGGAATAATCTTTTTAACAAAGAAGATCCATCTTTTAGTTTCTCATAATGTTGAACAACGTACTTAAGGATTTAGAAAGTGTGTTTCGTTGCTTCTCTTGTTAGAATGGCGTTATGTAGCCTGTGCTGTGTTCTTCTTTTTAGCTGGATGAACTGTACAATGTTTCACAACTGTAGCCTAGTTGATCGTGCATATTTGCGTCATGACTCCCGGCAAGTTGATGTGTTTTTTTCTTGCTTTTGAATCCCTTCAACCTGTATTTGGTGGCTCGGACAGTAACTGCTACGATATACGTCAGTCTTTAGTAAGTAATATGTTCCTTTTTCTCTCGCCTCACGTATGTCATATTTCCTGAGATAGTTTTTTAATTTTCGCTCTGTGGTTTCTTGTAGTCCTTTCACTGCGTGCCGCTATCACAGCTTGGTCATAGAGGAGGCCACATTTCCAGCGGACCAACTTGAGGTTACAGCATGGACTGAGGACGGGCTTGTGATGGGAGTCCGTCACAAAGTCTACAAGCACATTCAAGGAGTGCAATTTCATCCTGAGAGCATCCGAACTCAAAACGGGATGCAGATCGTCGGAAACTTTCTTAAGATTTTAGATAGAAAGGAGGCGGCTGACAAGGAAGGAGTTGAAACACAAATTTTGGAGAGTGTTTGAGTGATGAGTGATACTGGGATCCTTTTTTCTGGGAAAGATTGCCAGCAGCAGTAAGCTTGCTTTTGTTAGATTCCTCTCCCTACAGCGTGTACCTCCTCGAATATGCACTCAAGCAAGCCTAGAGGTTGCTGCTATAGATTTCTCGGTAAGACAGGGTATTATTGAGGCATTTTTTGCGCTTCCAGATGGAGCTACTACCACAAGTATCTATCCTATTATTATCTTTAACTTCGATGGATTTGCCATGATCACTGAGGTACGTCGAAGTTGTGATTGGACTTGTAGTGATCACTTCCAGAGCGAGCTATCAAACTGGTGCCTAGAGGAGCAACGCAAGGAGTGCTGAATTATTCTAATGATCTCATTTAGCCTAAGTTTTCCGTCAAACATAGTGATGTTTTTAAGTTCATCTCGTTAGTGAAACATCTCAAAGAAGGTACACCATTAAATTATTGCAGGGGTTGTGATGACTTTATTTAATAGTTGACCTCTTCAATTGAGAACGCATTGCTCTCCTTTTGTATAGTTTCAATCATATCAAAGCTCTATTTGTTCTCTGTACCTTAAGCCTTGTGTAAGGCATTTAAATAATCTCTTCCACGATTAAGATGGTAGTTATGTCGCCGGTTGCAACTTCCAAGATGTCCTAATGCTATAGTTCTCATTCACAACTCAGGAGGTTTGTTGTTTTATGTTTTTGAAAGTGACGAAGGAAATTGTTTACTTTTCGCTTTGTGTCTGTGTATTTTAGAATAGTACCTTAACTTCTTACACAATGGTGTCTAATTTGTTATTCTTGTGTATCACGAGCGTTAATCGGTTTGGACGTCGGACCCTTTTAACCAATCTCAATTGCTTCTGTTCTAATCCACGCGTCCCACGAATGGCAGGTCAAATACCGATTATTGCCCGACTCTAATCGTGACAGTCACTGAGACTAATAACGGGAGGTCACTATCTTGTGACGTTCTCGTTATTTTAAAATCTGTATAATGGCAATCCCTTTCTGCACCACGGCGAACTCATGATGATTCTTATCGAGTCCTGCTCACCAACTTTATCACAAGACCCTACGGATCTAACTATGATGACCAAAAGCTTGTTCTACGCATGCATGAGTCCCTTCGTTTGGGAGATTTTAGAATTCTTAGGAACTCACACGTTGTCCATAAATTTTAACACCGGGCAACATAGGATGTTGACATGTAGTCACAAATTTAGAAAAACCGACTTCAAAAGGTTGCCCACGTAGACAAAACAACTCGAACGCAGAAATCCAGGCGACCGGTGAAATTGGAACATTCACAACAAAGCGAGAAGAGGTTCAAAAAAACCGCAGAGTAAACCCTATGCGCCAGAGGGGAATGGGAGATCCACGGGATTCGGAGATGAAAAGGCATCGCGCGAGTAAAAACAAAGAGTGCGGGGAGCAAGGGCATCCAGAAGAGTTTCACTGAGATCTACAGTGTAACTCAGAAAGGGAGCCACTGGTACAAATGCCAGCTTTGCAACGCAGAACGAACGCGGGAGAGCTAACAGATCCGGGCTCAAAATCTCCTTCTTCTACCTCTCAAGCCGTCCACAACCCTCATTCTCCATTCTCGCACTATTCTCCTCAAACCAGTTGCATCTGCGGTTCCCTCCATCTCCAACCCTACGGCTTTCGTGCGAGCTTATTTGTTGCCTATACTAAGGTTAAACCCACTCACTTTGTTGCCTATACTTTGCTTTGCTATTTGGTTGCTTTCGTCTTCGCTTTTGTTCTTTGGTTTATCTCAAGTGCACATGTTCTCGCGACGCTGTGCCGCTGTAGGGGCTGGTGGGCTTATAGACCTGAGCACCGAGGCGTGGGTTTGCTTCGACTGGCTGTGGTTGTTAGCAAGGTGTTCTCGTAAGGTAGTTGTGTTCAGAGCTAGATCTTGTGACGGTGATGCGAAAAATGCGTTCATCAGAGTTAAGTGATAGAGGGGCTTTTCGTGAGATCTGCTTCTGTGATGGATCTGCTGTGAAAGCGGTCCGCGTTCTCCTTTATCTTCAGCTCTGTGTCTGATGTTTGGGAAATGCATCCTTTGGATACGGTGCGATTCAGGCTGTATATTGAATCCCCGAGTTTTGGAAATCTTTATGACCTCACTTAATCCGAAAGCTAATGGGCTGTATTGAGTGAGGCTAATACACATCTCTCCATACCGCGCTTCGGTTTCGACTCGTCTTACCGACCACATTGATTCACATGCGGAGACATCAGTGTTGGATCACTTACAGTCTGACCTAAATAGCACGTGTGCTACACATAGTTTCAATGCCAGTAACAGTCTTTTGATGTGCAGAGTATTTCTTCTCCATGGCTGGAGAGGGTGAGGATGTCCAGCCTTTGGTGTGCGACAATGGATCCGGAATGGTGAAGGTATGATATTAACTGTTTTGATGATGCATTTGTATTCTCCCTATGTGATGAAGTGGCTTGCAATAAAATGCAGTTCTAAAGCATGTCATGGGCCAAGCTGGGTCGTTATCGTCTTCTTCACATCGTGGTATCTCTGTGATCGGCACAAAACCTAAAATGTTGGTATTGTGCGGATTTTATGCAGGCTGGTTTCGCTGGAGATGACGCCCCCCGCGCCGTGTTTCCGAGCATCGTGGGACGGCCGAGGCACACTGGTGTGATGGTCGGTATGGGACAGAAGGACGCGTATGTCGGCGACGAAGCTCAGTCGAAGAGGGGTATCTTGACGCTGAAGTACCCGATCGAGCACGGAGTGGTGACGAACTGGGACGACATGGAGAAGATCTGGCACCACACGTTCTACAACGAGCTGCGTGTGGCACCGGAGGAGCACCCAGTGCTGCTGACGGAGGCCCCGCTGAACCCGAAGGCGAACAGGGAGAAGATGACTCAGATCATGTTCGAGACGTTCAACGTGCCGGCGATGTACGTGGCGATTCAGGCAGTGTTGTCGCTGTACGCGAGTGGGCGGACGACGGGTATTGTGTTGGACAGCGGAGACGGTGTGACGCACACAGTGCCGATCTACGAGGGTTACGCGCTGCCGCACGCGATCCTGCGGTTGGACCTGGCGGGGCGCGACTTGACGGACGCGCTGATGAAGATCTTGACAGAGCGAGGGTACTCGTTCACGACGACGGCGGAGAGGGAGATCGTTCGGGACATGAAGGAGAAGCTGGCGTACGTGGCGCTGGACTTCGAGCAGGAGTTGGACACGGCACGGAGCAGCTCGTCGTTGGAGAAGAGCTACGAGCTACCGGACGGACAAGTGATCACGATCGGGGCGGAGCGGTTCAGGTGCGCGGAGGTGCTGTTCAACCCGTCGTTGATCGGGATGGAAGCTGCGGGGATCCACGAGACGACGTACAACTCGATAATGAAGTGCGACGTGGATATCCGAAAGGATCTGTACGGGAACATTGTGCTGTCGGGAGGATCGACGATGTTCCCGGGGATCGCAGACCGGATGAGCAAGGAGATCACGGCACTGGCACCGTCGAGCATGAAGATCAAGGTGGTGGCACCTCCGGAGAGGAAGTACAGTGTGTGGATCGGAGGGTCGATCTTGGCCTCGCTGAGTACGTTCCAGCAGATGTGGATCGCGAAGAGCGAGTATGACGAGTCGGGTCCATCGATTGTGCACAGAAAGTGCTTCTAAGCTAGTGCATACCTGTCTCCTGAAATGCTATCACACCTTGTCAGGTGGGGTTATGGAGTTTATTTGTAGTAGCTGAGCAGCTCGAAGAGGCCAGTGAGAGACTGATTTTTCAGGGGTTGCAAGGGAATGGTTACTCGAGTAAAGAGCCAGCGCTGTCGAGACCTTCTTGGTGCAATTCCATCTTTGAAAGTATGCATCACAAGTTAGATTCGTGGCTTTTGAGCTTGTCCTCATTATTTTGCCTACCATTTATGTTTTTGTGGATTTAGCATCCGCGGCGTTTAAGTTTTTGTTTTAACATTCTTTCTTGTAGGTTCGGGTAGAATGTTGGGGACATTTTATGCTTGAAGAGCGTCTTGCACTGTCGGACTGTAATGCAATGCTTGTGGACCTCAGCCTGGCCTGCAATACTTGTATATTCGTGAAAACAATCATAGCGACTCTGTGTTATTCTTCCCATGTCATTCACTGGCTCTCGAACTTTGTCGAATGCATCTGATGGGCACGCGTGCAGAAGCCGTTCTTTAACCTCGATGGGATGGATTAGTACGATTTGCTGTCATTTAAAACTATTTGCTATCCGTATTTGTCTTCTGTTCGGAAATTTGTGTAGCTTGTTATTTTATGGTATGTTGTAGGAAATCAGCTTTGGTGAGAAATTTGTTTCATAACGACACAATGGAATGATGAATTAAATTGTTGCCAGACCAATATCGTATGTGTCAATCTGATTCCTCAATGCAGATATGGTTGTGGAGCGTCTGCTGTACCTCCTTGTTTTAACCGCCGTATCTGAACCAACTCGAACGTAGTTTGAAAAATGCACTAAATGATGCATATTCAATCGGTCAAGTCATATTAAACACGCGGTTTTGAAAGGTAGCAGGTGTATATAATATAAACATGTATATCGCAAAGGCCCATTCCTGACATTGGATGGTGCTAATTAAGATCTAATGAACCGTTCCTGGCAATGTATCTATCAAGCAAACTGAAGACACAATGAATCGTTGAGTGTATGTAGAAACACAAAACGATCTTGTATTTCCTTTTCATGTGCCAGAGTGAGCCTCATCGATGTACACTGATAGGACTCAACTTTGATATTTTTTGAAGATTCTTATGCCTGAATAAGGTACTTGGAATCATAGTTCTTTGTCTCATGGCTTAACTTGATTAGATTTGGGGATTTGAACCTTTGTAAGAGGCAATGAATTCAAATATGATTATTGGCAGAGGATGATTGTTTCTTGTAGGCTCCAACTGTTGTGGGTGTCACTGTTTTTTCTCTTTATTGCTACGATTAGCAATCAGCAGTAATGTTAGATGTCACATATTTTTAGGTCTTAATCGTTTCAAATTGAGTGATACGTACAATTCAAGTAATTGTCTACTATTTTCTTCCATAAAGTGCAATTAAAGAAAAAGAGAATGTTTTATTTGCAATAAAAATAATCATGAAAACAAAAAAAGTGCTACTGCAATTTTATTATTGTAATAATAATAATAATAATAATAATAAATATACATGTATATATTTTTTCAAATGGAAAAATTAAAAATAAAAGACTTAATGGTGAATTATTAGAAGATAGTATAATTTTTTTATTAAAATTAATATATTTTTTAAAAAATTTATTATTATTTTGAAAATGAATAACAAATAAATATAATCTTTCATTTTTATTAAGTCCTTCAACATCTACTGCATAAGACTTTTTAAAACAATGATTTACCACTTTTCAATTATGAGTAGGTATGATAAATATGCTCTCTTTATTAGAATGTAAAATATCTACAAGCACAACATGACTAAACTTACTTTAAACATTAAGTTGCTACAATACTTTGCAAATTATTGAAAGACCAAAAATATTATTTTCAATACTTTAAAAAAAATTAATAAGTCATACATGTCATTTCTTCTACTCTATATAATTCTTTATAATTTTTTTATTTTTATTTCATCCATACTAACAAAATACAAAACTTTCACATATTTATCACATGTATATTTTATTCTCAATTAATGTACTTCTGTATCCAACAAATTTTTATTTCAATGCATAATAACGTTGATACATAAATTGATAGCTAAAACTTATTATTGATAGAGCTAAGATACCTTTGCTATGTACAATAAGTTTAAGCTTCATCAATTTCTACTAAGTATTTTTTCTTTTAACACTTTGAGTCTTTTACATACATCCTCAAGACTTTGTCATTGTGAAGAATTCAATGCCCAATATTTTTTTATTAATTCTATATTTTTATTACAATTGAAAGATAACTTTTGTCTTTTAAAATGTTAATCCTATTTGATACTTTTTCTTCATTTATCACACCATTACATAGATATTTGCTTAAAAGAATTATAGAATATATTATTAGAAATAAATATACATTCTTTTCAATAGGACATATCTTTATTGATTCTCTTGTATATTTCAATGCATCTAAAGTTAAATATCTTGAAGCTTTATATATTTAATCATTGCTTTTAGCTTTAGTTTCCTTCTCACATCTATCTTAGGTATACGAAAATTAATCAATTTTACAAAAATACATTAAAATCTATTTTTAAATTTATTATTATTTAAAATATTCAACAAAAAATTATGAGCCTATAGATCTTAATAGATTATTTCTATGTCATGTAAACAATATATTCTTCTTGTAATTTAATAAATATTGTTAATAAAAAATAACATAATATTGATATTTTTGCTCTAATATTTCATTCAAAATTTTTTATATTAATTTTCTAAAAATAAAAAATATCACTTCAATTTTTTCTTACTATATTCTTACCATGCTTATTGGTATCATTTTTTTTAACCTAATGATATTTGATTAGATTTAAATGACTTAATCTATCTATAATGCATGTTACGAACATACACATGTAAGCCAATAATTACCTGTATAAATAGGTAGAAGTAAATAGAAGTAGGTAAAAATAAGTTAATTCTATAATATCTTCTATGAAAGCTTTCTAGAAGCTTAATAGATGTTGCTTTGACTTTATAGGTGTCTTTAATTGACTTTTTGGATTAGAAACATGGTCAACAAGTTGGCCATGTGCCACATAGGATGTTAGCTTGAAAACCAAGCTAACTATGTGGCCTACACATAGAAAAACTTGCCTTGTAAGTCAAGACATGTGTCCTACAAAGTCAACACATATTAGAGGTCCTATAGAATATTGTCACGTAGCCCCTAATTAGGTAGTATATATAAAGACAAGAATGAAGCCTTCTTCACTCTTGTCAATTCTTTTCTTACTTTAAGTTTAATTTCAAGAGTCTCAAATTTTCTTGTCTTTTGGCAATATGTCTTTCTAGTTTCTTTTAATATATGTACTTCCTTATTTCTATTTTGTCACTCTTTCTTTGATACTGATTTCATTGGTTTATGCATCATCTTTTAGTTCATATCCTTGACAGATTGATAAGAGTACTCATACAATATCAAAGCTTTGCCTTGTCTTGATTAAGAGTCGATTACTCCTTTTTTATGATAAGACATAAGCATATTAGAAGTTGAAGATTACCCTCTTCTAAAATGATATTGTTCTAAGTATTTTCTTTATCTTCAAGTCCTTTCTTGTACTTGTCTTCAATGATATTAGATATTTTTTTAAGTGTTATTATGGCAGAGCTTGTTGAATTGAAAAGCGCAATGGTACAAATGCAAGAGCAATTGAAGAGTTGATGCTTGCGATGCATCAACTTAGCTTATCACTACAAGGATCAACAAGAATGGTAGGAAATGAGAATATAGAGATGATTAGAGCTGCTTCAACATTTGTACCAAATCATATCCTTCCACCCATGGTGGAACATCCTTCAAGTGTTAGAAAATCAAGAGTTGTCATGTCCAAGAAGTTTGATGGTACAAGATCCAAATTTCAAAGATTTATTAATCAAGTACAACTTATAATTGAACTTCAACCTCAAAGCTATTCAACTCCAGGATCACAAGTTAGATTCATTGGTATACTTCTTTTAAGTTGAGTACTATGATAGTTTTGATCTTTTCTTGAATGACAAGATCCAATATTAGATTATTTGGAGGCATTTTTGATAGAATTCCAATCCATGTATGGAGAACATGATGCAACTCGTATTACAACCAACAAGATTTGTATTTTATAATAAAGCAATCAATTTGAAACATTATATACTTCACAGTTTCGACAACTTATAACTAATATCAAGTGGAATGATGTTGCACCTATTAGCCAATTTTTTTATGGATTATAATATAAAGTAAAGAAATTGATGCTCAACTTACATGATTCTCAAATATTGAGTCAAGAAATTGACTTTGTTGTGAAATGTGACAATTGACTTTTTGAATTTCAATTTGAGAGTCATATAAATAGACCTCAATGTTACTACAATTCAATGGCAACACCAACATCTCTTCAACACATACATTCAGAAGATAAGGATATGCAAATTGATGTGGTACATTTTAAACCTCTTACTGAGCTAGAAAAGACTCGTTGCCATCAAGAAGGATTGTGCTTATATTATGGAGAACCTAAATATATTACTCAACATTGTCCAAAGAAGCAACAAAATCACAAAATCAAGAGCTTATTGTCAAAGAAGATAATGTGTTAGAAAATGAATTTGTCTAACTATAATTGAAACCATGCAATTGGAATCTTATACAATTTCTAATGAAGGTCCTATCTTCTCTTTAGAACCCTCTCTTTGTTTTATAATAGATGTGTATTTAGGACCTAATAATTATAAAGCCTCTGCCTTCATAGATTCATGAGCCTCAGCTTGTTTTTTAGATGTAGAATTTGTTAAAAGTCATAAAATATCGTTAGTACAAAAAATCAAACTTGTTCATATAGAAGTCATAGATAGTCATTTGTTGTCTTCTGGAGATGTTACTCATATAATACTTTCTATATATCTAGCAATAAATGGTCATAGTAGTTGCATAATCTTTAATATAATTAAATCTCCCTCTTATCCATTTATTTTAGGTTTATCATAGTTAAAAAAGTATAATCCTTGTATAGATTAGATTTCTCGTATCCTTGACTTCTCTAAAAACATAATTAAGAATGAAATTAATCCAATAGAAAGTTACAAGTCTAGTGCAATTAAACCTATGTTTGTAGGTACAAGAGTTTTCTTGCATGCTGCAAAAGAAGGATCACCTTGTGTCATTTACGCCACACTTATTTCTAATGATGTGAAGACTTCAAGTGGCATTCCTAGCCAATATCAATAATTTTAAGATGTATTTGAGAAGAAGAATGTAAATACTCTTTTAGAACATCATCCCTATGACTGCTCAATTGACCTACAAGAATGAATATAACCACCATTTGAACCAATCTATAGTTAATAACAAAATGAATTGGTTGAACTCAAGGAATATATTGAAGAGAATCTGGCCAAGAATTTCATACACCATTCCAAATCACCACTAAGAA